GGAGATGGGGGGGGTTAATTCGCATGCGGGAAGACGCCTTGAAAATTGCGCTTTTCAGCAGCTTTCTCCCCCCTCCCAAGTTAACAAATGTGTGTCTTGATTGAAAGTGAAAAGTTGAAGAATAATAGACCTGCAACCCTGCATCATGTAGCTTGCTCACTTCATTTCGACCGGGGTGTGTGTGTGTATGTGTGTGTGTGTGTGTTAGGATGGAGGTTTTACAAGCCCTGCATATGCTTTGCCTTCTTTTTTTTTTCTTCTTCTTCTTTTTTTAAATTAAACCTTGGGGAGCCTTAAAAAGCTGCCCAGATTGAATGATGTGGGGCCTTGTCCGTCTGGATGTTGAGCGATGGTGGCGCACCAGATTTGATGGCGCGTTCTTGTTTCTCGGTACAGTTCAATTCTTTTCAAAATTGAAGACCCCGAAAGAGGGGGGCAAGGGAGGGGGAAACCCAAGATAGGTATCCATGGCGAGGTCCACTAACCAGGGTTGGCAGGTGTAGCTGGAACAGGGGGGGGGGGGGGGGGTGGGTGGGGCTAACTATACCATCGCTCGGGAGATGACCAGCGAAGGTTGGAAGAAGCAACTCATGGGCCTTTACGGGTGTGCTCCTCTGAATGAGCCATCCCTTCGATCACCCAGTTACGCGCGAGAAAACAGTGAGCCCCATATGGGCAGTCCTCGAATTACGACCACTAATGGAGTCCCAGATTGATGTGGCTAAGTGAAAACACTGGTTAAGTGAGTTTTACAACCGTCCGACGACTTTGCTGGCCACCGTTCTGAAGGGAATCGCTGCAGTCGCTAGGCAGGTCATCTGGCTTCCAGCCTCGTCCTGCAGGGTCCGTTTTCCTCCACTCCCCCTTTTTCCATCCTCTCTCTTTTCTGTCATTCGTTGGGGCTTCGTGTCGTGTCTGTGACCTCTGTTCTAGGACACCTGTCAAGTTCCAGGCATGTTCCAGGAGGGTTTGATGAACAAATAATAGCAATAACTAAAATATTAATTGAGCCACCCTTCTGGGCAGGAGTGGAAAACACCGGAGCTATTCACAGATATTTGGGGTTTGAAAAGAATTAGGCCATGTGCCTTGGCTGGGAGGGAGGGGGTTGCATAAGGGGTAGAAACGTTGGAGTTTTATTTTTTTATTTTTACAGTGTACTAGGTAGATCAGGGGTGTCCAACCTTGGCAACTTTAAGACTTGTGGACTTCAACTCCCAGAATTCCTCAGCCAGCTTTGCTGGCTGAGGAATTCTGGAAGTTGAAGTCCACAAGTCTTAAAGTTGCCAAGGTTGGACACCCCTGAGGTAGATGGACCTGCAAGCTTAAATAGGTCCTTGAGTGTTAATAGTGTTTAAAACCTGCTGCCTTAACAACTGCAGTGATTCCCTTATCCACTGTGGTGAGAATGGTTGAAAGAATGCAATATTCACTTAACAACTGTCCTGCTTAGCAACCGAATAAGTTGAGGACTGTCTGCATGGCAGTTTTCATCAAGTGAACTTCAGGAAAAAAAACAAAAATACCTTCAGGTCAGAATAAATATTACAAATAAGTAAGATTTGCCTTCCCGTCCTATCGATAGCAAGTGGAACTTCGGTGGTCCTCCTGCATTCCATGCTGGGTTGCATCTTTTGACATGCAAATAGTTTTATTTGGGATAAATGCTCAGCAAGACTCCAGATTATTATTTTCCTTGTGTATAAATCCATAGTTAGCTGTTTAATCCTATGACCCAATATTTTGGGGGGAGGGATGAACGAAAGCTATTGTTGATTTACTCCCAACTTTTCCGATCAAGGAGCGGATCTCGAAGCTAAAGAGAGGCAGTAAAACTTGAGCACAATGACTTAGCTACGTCTGATTTAATTGTCTAATGTAGCCCTCTCCATAATCCCGTACCTATATCAAGGTAAAGGTTTCTGCTCTTGGCATTATCATCTGAAACTATCCCAACTTTCAGAATGGATAACTTGGGCTCCCTGATTTTTAACTTGGGCGTAACATTCCCTCCTCACCTCCCAATATCCAGATCTAAATGTAATATTTAGCAGAGGGAGAGTTGGGGGGGGGCATTTTATTTACTCCCCGCAGGGCAGAATTCTGCCTTAATTCAGCTAAATGTTTTCTGTGTCACTTGTCACTGAATTACTTATGTTGTGGACACAAGGATGCATCAAAGCATTGAAAGATGCCCTTGTTATAAAACACCGTTCTGGGGCTGTTAAATATTCATATGGATCAGCATAATCCGTTCCAACTGACTTGAACCGATCTTGCAAGCGAGGAACATCAAAAACAGCCCCCCTGCCTGAGGGAGTTCATCCTGGACCCAGGAATATGCCCCTCCAGGAGAAGCTTTGGAAGTTCTGAAGACCAAGGAGAGTTGGGTCCGTTAGCTATAAAGAAGGCAAGCAAGAATAACAACAGCTGGAAGTCTTCTAGTCCTCAAGGAGGAAATCATTTGAGACGGATGGTTGTCCAATCTCTTCTTGACAGTCTTCAAGTGTTGGAGCTGTCAGCCCTGGAAGCCATATTTCACTTCGAAGCTTCCGAGGCTGCCACATTTTAGTGCCTGGGAATTTGGGAGGTGGGGTTTAATAAAGAGGCGGAAGATTAAACTCAACAACATTCTTCTTATATAGTCAAGGACAAGTCACCCTGCACCCGGAGAGGAGGAATGTCTCCAGTTGATTGAACGGTGGTGGATTGGGCCATTTGATGGCCTGGTGGGTGCAGGGGATGGATCTTTGAATTCCTCAGATTCGGGTTTTCCCAGATGTGCCACCAAGACTTCTTTAATAAATCCTGACGTGGATGAACTTTGTTTCTGAGTGCTGAAGGAGAATGGGGAGTTTCAACTGGAACCCTGATAGGAGCATTCACAACTTCTGGAGGCAAGTTGTTCCACTGGTGAATTGTCCTAGCGGTTAGGAAATGGGGTTTCACGGGAAGGTGAAACCCAATCCTGTTGGGTTCTACCTAAAGTTGATGAGGTTCCTTTGGAGCAGTCCGTAGCTCCAACCTGAGCATGCTTCAACAACCAACTCGCCAGCCTCCCTCAGCCCAAACCTTCTTGCAAAGTTGAAAAAGTTGGGTTTCCTTTGGTTACCCCTTGGGGCGCATCGAGAATAATTTGATGCAAAATAAGCCTAACCAAAACGCTCGAATGGATCTTGACCTACGTTAATAACCGATTCTTCTTTTTCTTCTTCTCTTCCTTCCCTAGCTTGATATATGGTCGAAGTCCAACTATCAAGTCTTCCAGAAGGTAAGACTTGGCTCCTCCTAAAGAGGAATCTCGGTACCTTGGCTTCTAAGGAGGCCCTTCCTGGTTGACAGGAATGAGGCCGAGTTTTGCTAAACTAATGAAGTGAAATCCCCAGGATTCTTCATGCTTCGGAGCTGAACCTGAAATGCAAAAAGTTTGAAAAGAAAAGCTTTGGGGAGGGAGGGATGAAACCTCCCAGCCCTTGACTAGCATTTAAACCCCCAAAATAGCACACTAGTTAGTCTTTTACTCTGGAGGGAGGGTGAGAATTAAAGGATTAGAGGTAGAGTTTTCTTTTCTTTTTTTCCCCACCTCCCTTCTGGAAATTCAGGCCTCCTTTCCGAGGGAGAGAAGGTTTTATAATGCAAAGCAGCCAAGAACAGAGGCCACAGAGGTGATAATCCTTCATCAATAAACGCCTTCAACTTGTTACAGCTAATGAAACAGCTTTTGTTTGGGCGGTTAAAAACTTTTCTCCTGTTTGGACCTCTCTCTTTTTTGAACCTAGACCACACAGTCCTTGACTTATAAACCACTTGTTTAGTGGGAAGTTACAAAATGGGGCTGAAAAAAGAGGCCTGTGACCGGGTTTTTTTTCCACATTTACGACCATTACAACATCCTTGTGGTCCTGTGATCAAAATTCACTTGGTCATTGGCTCATATTTATGATGGTTGCAGTGTTCCGGGGTCACGCGATCCCCTGTTACGACCTTCAGACCAGCAAAGTCGAGGGAGAAGCCAGGTTCACTTACCCCCCCCCCCCCCCGAGGCAAGGAAGGTGGTATAATGGGTCAAAAGGGAGAATCGTCCTGCTTAAGGGGCAGAAACGTTGGGCTCAGCTGTGGCTGCGCGTTGAGGACGACCTGTATATTAAACGAATCCTACAAATTGCCTTCAATCCTCATATGCTTTTAACGACCCCATAATCCCTTGCAGGGTAGACCTGGCCAACTGAATGGAGCAAGAAGAGTGTTTTACTGGCCGGATGCCCTTTCCGGTTGCCAGTGCGGAGTTTTGTTTGGCAGAAATATTCTCATCTGCCTCTAGCTAGGATCGAACTCACAGCCTCCTGATTGTGAGGCAAGAGCTTCACCTCTAGGCCACAGTCCTGCTCCTATACAATTTGCCTTCAGTGGGACTATACATTGCAGTCAATAGTTTCCAGTGGTTTCCTTCAGCCCCCACATCATTGTGTCCTCATCACACCCACTTCTTTGTTTAGTGAGTCCTACTTCCGGTCTCTGGCTCAAAGTCACCCTGCCAGCTTTTTGTACCCAAGGCAGGACTCGAACTCCCCGTCTCCTATGGATACTCCCCATCTCCCGGTGATTGGCGCAGAGTCACCCCGTCAGCTTTCATAAGGCAAGACTAGAACTCGCCGTCTCCCGGTGATTGGCGCAGAGTCACCCAGCTGGCTTTTGTCCCTAAGGTGGACTAGGACTCACCCTCGCCCAGTGTCTAGCCTGGTGCTTAGCTAGGGCCGAACTGGCTCTCTGAAATTGATAACAAAAGCCTGGAGGATACAGACACACACACTGTACCTTCTGCTGCTAAAGGTGCACAATTTTTGTCTAGAAAGAGATACGGAATGAAGTGACTATGCTTTAGTAGTCAAAGACATTTGTCATGGATAAATTGCATTTATTTTACCTCATTTCCCCAGGATCATCAGCCCCTTGTCTACTTGGGGTTTGTCGCAGACGTGTGCGCCGCATATGTAAGAAATATTGCCAAATGTTACCCCCTCTATGCCTTGATTATAAGAGATCGATGCCTACCTTGGCAGACAACGTTATTAAGTTTTTATAACTGGTTTATTTGGTTTGGATTGTGTGTTTTTTCTGGGTATCCATGTAGCTGCTTGCATTGGAAGGTGGGTGTTTTGAACTTGGAGAGAAATAACATAAAATAAAATAAAAGCTACAGTAAGCTAACTTCCCCTCCTGCTGCAAAGTGAACTCAGCAACAAATAAATCAGGAGGATGTGTGAACGTTCTGCAGAATCCTGTCACTCCAGGCATGATTAATGATGTCGTTTTAATACTTTTTTTAGGTATATATATTAATAATTTTGAGTGGTCCCTTAAAACTTCACTTGATTTAACATTAAAAAAAAAAAAAGATTTCGAAACAGGAGAAATAGGGACATTTGTCTCCCCTCTGGATGGGAAGAGAGTTAAAATGAACAGGCCATGACTGCAGATCCCAGATTCCCTTGTTCTTCACCCCGAAACCTTCCGATGGACTTTGGTATTGTGCGCCCCAGTTTTGGGGATGCTGTTGGGTGGGGACTAATTCATACCAAATTGCTTATCTGCATGATACGGGGTGTGTGTGTGTGTGGAGGGGTGGGTGTTCAAGCCCCCCACCCCAAAAGACCCATTATAGCTAAAAGGTTCAGGTTTTCGTCCCCAGAGGTTCTTCACCCCCCAGAGGTTTTTCCTGGGTGGGACGCCGGGGGCTTTGGTGCGTCTTGCCGAGCCAGCAGGGAGAATCGGAAAGAATAGATCGGCGCCACACCAGCTGGACGTGCTGTAAAGGCTGCCATCACAAAAGGGCCGGGAGAAGCCGCGGGTCTCTTGGCCGCTCTTTGACATTTTCAACCTGGCGGGGAGGAAGAAGAAGCAGCGGTGATCTCTCACCTTCGCCCGAGCCTTCCGACCGCTGAAATAAACCGGGAAAATAAAGATACCCTTCGAAAGAAAAGAAATGGAGCCTGCGGGTAGGCTGAGCCCTTCTCTCCCACCCCTCCGTTCCAAAAAAACTCCTCCTTTACAAAAGGAAGAGGAAACTATTGATCGGTTGTGGTATCCTCCTGTGGCCCGGGGAGGGGTGCCGTTGTTGTGGCTGCTATTGTTCTTCTTTGGTTTGGTGTCTTAAATAGCCCCGTGGCATTTCACAGCAAAGGGCAGGCTAGCCCAGGAAGAAGACAGGAGAAAAACAGAATATGCGGGGAGTCCTCGAATCGCAACCGTTTCGTTTAGGGGCCGTTTGAAGTTGCGGTGGCACTGAGGAAAAGGAGGACTTGGGGCTTCGTCTTTCACACTTACAACCATGGCAACATTCCCCCACGGTCACGTGATCCAAATTGGGATGCGCGGGAAGCGGCTCCTGTTTATGACGGTTGCAGAGTTCCCGGGCTCCCGTCCCATTTTGCGACCTCCTGACAAGGAAGAGTCAAGGGAGAAGACCCAGTTTGCTTAACGACCGGGCTCCTAATTTAGGAACTGCAGGGACTCGCTTGATAACGGTGGCAAGAAAGGTTTCAAGGTGGGGCAAAATAGATGGATGGATGGATGGATGAGGAATGGATGGATGGAAGAGTGGATGGAGAGATGGAGGGATGAGTAGATGGGTGGGTGAGTGGATGGGCGGTTAAGTAAACGGATGGATGGGTGGGGGATAGGTGGGTCAGGGTTAGGCGAGCTGCACGACATTCCCCAAACTGCCCTTTTCTTCTGCCTGTCCTAACCAAAAGCCCTATCAATAGTGGAGCCGACCGGCGACGGAGCCACAGAAAGAGGGATGGAAAGAGCCACATGCGGCTCCAGAGCTGCAGGTTGCCGATCCCTGTTCTAGAGTCTCCATAAGCATTTTTTTTTTTTACACCGCAGCCCCCCAAACTGGATGCAGTATTCCCAGGGTGGTCTTACCAAGGCATTATTAAAGCAGCGTTATCGCTTCACACGATTTAAGTTGGGTGCAAAAAGAAAAAAAATTCTTCCCCTCCCAAGCCCTCCCCTCTCCTTTTCACCCTTCCCCGGTGTCACAAGGGCACCCCCGGCCGTTGCAAGGTATGGAGATGCATTTCTGTCATTAATCTCCCGAGGAAAAACGTGGAACGGAGGCCTGCATAATCATCTATTGAATTTTGACCATCGCTCCACCACCCCACCCCAGCCTGAAGGACGAGCGATTATGCGTTCCCAAGGACGAGCTTGCGCCAGTTGCACAACCCTTGGCATAGAAGGAGGCAGTTTTAGCCTTCTTTTCCTGGTGGTTTTTTCTTTTCTTTTTTTAATCATAAACTTTTAATTAGGTTTCCCAGTCAAAGGAATCCACAGAAAAGACAAAATGTTCAAAGATGGAGAATGGGTTGTTGTTTTTTCCAGAGTCATCCTGTGCTCTGCCTTGGCTCCTGGCTTTTCTGTTTTCAATTTGCAACTGGCCCCAAACAGCAGCGGCTTTAAAAAAAAAAAAAAAAGCAATTAAAAGGGTGCCGCAGTTGGGAAGGGATATTACAGGGGGAGATCTCTCCTCCCCCCACCCGAGGTCAAAACGGCCTCCAAATTCAGATGGACAAATTATCTCGAGTCGCCTTTCCTGTTGCGATCCGGCACACAAATGATATAGATACAGATCATCAGAGTTGGAAGGGACCTTGTAGGCCATCTAGTCCAACCCCCCGCCCAAGTGGGAGACCCTACACCGTTTCTGACCGATGGCAGTCCAGTCTCTTCTTGAAAGCCTCCAGCGTTGAAGCTCCCACAACTTCTGGGGGCAACTTCTGTTCCATGGGTTGATGGTTCTCACTGTCAGAAAGTTTCTCCTTATTTCCAGGTTGAATCTCTCTCCTTGGTCAGTTTCCACCCATAATGATCTTGTAAATAACTCGACTGAGGATTTTTTTCCCCCTCTCCCTAAACTGCATCTCTCCCCTTTGTCAAAGCTTCTTGAAAGAAATCGTCATTCTGGGGAGGGAGAACCACGAAGCTGGACTATCTTTGGGGTGGAATATCTTTGTTAAATCAATGGGGCGATTTTTCTCTCCTTCCTTTTCATCTTCTCCCGCATCTTATTTGATGGCGTTCAGAACTGCTGTTCTTTTCTCTGCTCCTCTGAACGGCTGCCGGCCGCCCCTTGTTCTGTTTGGAAAATATGATTATAAGGTTTTGGATTGTTTCTTTTTTTTTTCTTTTACCTTTCAGCAAAATCTCATTAGCCGGCTATTAAACTAGCTCAGCGGGCTGCGTGCCCCAGTTCAGCTTGTTAATAGCAGTGCCGCTTTCTCTCCCAAGCAAATTAGTGGTAGCAGTGTAAGTACTACTACTACTACTACTACTACTACTACTACTGTAGCAGCAGTGGCAGCAGTAGTAGTGCCCTTCTTGGTGATGGGTACAGAATAGCAGTTGGGAGTCTTCTAGTCCAATCCGTTGATGAAGCAGGAAACTCCGTACCATTCTGGACCCGTGATGGTCCGTTCTCTTCTCCCTTCCTCCCTTCCATCCATCCTGATCTCTCTTTTCTTCCTTCCTCCCTCACTCCCTTTTTAAAATTATCTATTGACTTATGTGTTAAATTTATTTGCCACCCATCTCACTGCGGGGGCTGCTCTGGATGGCTTACACAACAATAAAATGGGGGGGGGGGTTGTGATTTAAAAAACACTTCCAAAAAAGGTGTTTTAAGCATTTTTCTCTTCTGTCTATTAGATTCCTACCTGCCTGTCTATCCATCCGTCTAATTGTTGTATCGCATTTTTATTCTGTTGGGTTTTATTGAATGGTATGCAGAGTCAATTCAAAGTCAAGCAATGTACAAGTGGAATACAGTAAATCCATCCTTTCACCACTCCCCCTCTTCTGCCTCTCTGTCCATCTGTTCGTTCCCTCCCTCCCTCCCTCCCTCCCTCCCTCCTTTCCTTCCTTCCTTCCTTCCTTCCTTCCTTCCTTCCTTCCTTCCTTCCTTCCTTCCTTCCTTCCTTCCTTCTAATTCCCCCTTCCCTCCCCCCTCTCCTTCCTTCTTCCTTCCTTCTTCTCATTCTCATCTCTTTTCCTTCTTTCCTTCCTCCCTCCCTCCCTCAATTTAACAACCGCCTGGCTTAGCAACGGAAACTCTGCTCCCCGTTGTAGCTGCAAGTCAAGGGCGTCCTGCATTAGATCTTGTCATCTAGCAGTTGCTAGAATGATTTGGGTTGGGGTTTCATAGCTCCTCTTCTTGGTCTCCTCTGCAGGTGACGGATCACGCAACCACAGCCCTCTTGCATTACCAGCTCCCTCAGATGCCTGACGTGGTTGTCCGGTCCTTTATGGTAGGTTTTATTTCTTTATGACTTTGATACGCTGCCCGTCTCGCCGATAAAACGACTCTGATGATGTTACCTAGTTGAGTCATCAGATGTCTGCAAGAAAACCACCAAGCTTAGGGACATCAAGGAGCCCACAGTCCTTTTCCTCCTCCTCCTCTTCCTCCCATACCCCATTCCCCCTAGTAACATTGATAATGTGATCTAGCTGGGTCATGAAACGTCTGCAAGGAAACCACCAAGCTCAGAAAGCACCAACAGCCCCACAGTTCTAGTCCTCCTCCAAGCAGGGGGTTGGCGTTCTTCTACTCCAACCGCCTGCTTGAGCGGGAGATGCCAGAATACAAAATAACAGACTTGGGAGGGACCTTGAAGGTCTTCTAGTCCAACCCCCCCACCCTCCTCGAGCTGAAGAGTCTACACCATTCCCGCCAAGTGGCTGCAAGATCCCCATGTCAGGGTGTTCGATGAATGCGAGGCCAGTCGGAGGAAGCTCGAGCAAACTGCTGCTGGCCAGGTCCTGTTTTGAGCGCCAATCTGCTTGCTTTCTCTACTCCAAGAATACTCCGAGGAGCAGAGAGGAAGTTATTGACTGCCTGAGACGGAGAAGCCGCTCCAATCAAGGCGAAGAGAATTCATTTTCATAAAGGCAGCCTGCCTTCAGAGAGCAATTTTCTCTTGATCGATATAATCCAGCCAGACCTCTGCTGACAAGATTCATGACTGCTGTGGCTAGTTCGAATCTGATTGGGGCATGAACGTGTTTTATTTGTATTTATTATTTTCACTCCATTTCTCCCCCGGCCCGCAAGTCAGTCTGGCTAAGAAAAAAATCCCTTTTGAAACCGTAACCTTAGATAACCGTAGAAAACCATCCCTTCGCACTCTTCTCTTTCTTAGTCCACAGGGAGTCCTTGACTTACAGTGGTTCATTTAGCGGCCGTTGGAAATTACAACAGCACTGTGTGGGGGGGAGCGACCTTACGACCCATTTTTCACACCCTCACAAACATCCCCCACGGCCACGGGCTCAAAATCCAGGCACTAATTGGCTCGTATTTATGACGGGGAGTCTCCGTTTGTGACCTCGGGACGGGCAAAGCCGACGGGAAGCGGGAAATTCATCGAACAACCGCGTTACTAACCGAACACAACTGCAGCGATTCGCTTAACAGGCACAGCGCGAGAAAAGTCCTAGAATGGGACACAACGCCGAGCAGCGGTTTCCCTCAGCGATGGGAATTTGGGGGCTCTGTTGCGGTCCTTAGGCGAGAATCCCCCCCCCCCCCGGTTAGCGCTTGATACGTTTCAATGCTCCTCGTTCCTAAGGGCGAGATTTGACTTGAGAGCAAAGGATGGAAATGCGGAAACCACAACGGTTTTACCAACCCTTTGGCTTGGAGGAACACAACCTGGAGAGGTTGGCGAAGACAGCGGAAGGAGTGTGGAGGTGGCAAAAGTGAATCCCTTTAATTAGGGGGTGGAAAGATCAGCGACCAGAGATGACACCCCCCCCCCCCATGTTATATATATAAAAATATATATATATATATTTTGCTGAAAAAGAAGGTGGGGTGGGGGGAAATATGGAGGTCTGATTTATGAGTTTGAAGATTAGAAAGGCTTATGGCGGGCAGGAAATTGGAGAGAGAGGGGGGCACCGTTAAAATATTTCATTGACTGCTGTCAAGAAGATTGGAAATATAACCTTTCCCCCCTCCCCCCCACCCCCCCCCCCCTTCCTACAATAACCTTCCCCCCCTCCCCCTCCCCCCCCCCCCCTTTTTCACTATTAACTGCAGGGAGTCCTCAGCTTACGGCCACAGTAGAGCCCAAAACTAAGTGAAATGTTTTGTCAGGGTTTCCAAGTAACATACCCACAGGGCAGGGTTTGTGACGTGAATTTTGTCCCCTTTTATTTATGGGTGGCCTTTGCCACTGTTGCTTAAGTGAATTGTTGTAGTGGTTAACGTCAGGAACATGGTCATTAAGTAAATCTGGCTTCCCCATTGCTTTTGCCGGCTGGAAGGTCACTGCAACCGTCGTAAATATGAGTCAGTTGCTGAGGGTCTGAATTCCCCCCCCCCCAGTACATTTTTTATTTTTGGTTTCTTTAATTTTCATCTTTGGGTGAACAGTTGTGGTTCCAGGTCTTTTCACGTTTTAAAACAAATGGCCATAATTGCATATTCCAACTATTAATTTTCTTATCTGGTTTAATAACTATTACATATTACCAATTTTATCATTCAGTATTCTCATCTGTTACTTTATATCAATCTCTATATTCTCAATATCATTTTTAATACATATTCTCGTAGTAGTCATATTTGCAAAAGAAATCCAATTGTATCATTCAAATAATCATTCATAAATTCATCTTAGTTTATATTATCCAGTGTTTATCCCCTTTTTAACCATTCATAAATTCATCTTAGTTTATATTATCCAGTGTTTATCCCCTTTTTAATGTTAATTAATTGTGCCACTATTATATTTTTAAAGCAAAATCCCTCTCTAATCTCATTACATTACACAAATCATAATTTACATACATACATACATACATACATACATACATACATACATATATGGCATTTGTTTTCCTATACTGTCATTGGTTTCCATGTATATTCCATAAACAATTATAAATCTTAAATAATAATCCTATAATATCTTATTTTCATATTTATTCCAATTAAGATATTAGCCCTTTTATTCTAATTGATATTTTATATTTCTTTAATAATTCTATGATAAAATACGAATTCCAGATTTATTAAAATTAATAATTATATATCTCAACTAATAAAACATCCATTCATGTGGAATCCTTAAATTTTGATCATGGGACCCCAAAGGTCGTATGTGTAAAAAACGGTCCCTTTCCCCCCCAGTGCCTTTGTAACTTTGAACGAAAGTTAACTTGAGTCGAACCTCTGTAAGTCAAAGGCTTACACAGGTTTTCTGTGATTTGTCTGTTGAGAAAGTTGGAAAAGAACGGGCGTCCCCGGAGAACAGAAGCTCAGGTTTTAAGTCTACATCTCATGTTTTGCTTTCAACCGAAGCTTTGATGCCGAGTGGCCCACGCTAAATCTTCTTCCTTTTTTTGGTTTTTCAGACCTGGCTGAGAAGTTACATCAAGCTGTTCCAAGCTCCGTGCCAACGTTGTGGGAAATTCCTGCAGGACGGCCTCCCTCCCACCTGGCGGGATTTTCGGACCCTGGAAGCCTTCCACGACACGTGCAGGCAATAAGCCAACCTGGAAGTGGATCAGAACAGCTTATCTGGAAGTAGAAGGTGGATCTGAAGAAACCCAAAGCAGAAGCCAACCTCCCATGGAGCTCTCTGTAAGTGCGGATGGTCTCCTTGACCGAGATCAATGTCTTCATAAACCTTAGCAGGATTGAATGGATATTTTGGTGGACCGTCGTGACCTGTTCCATGATAATGACCTTGTTCAACCAAGAATGAGAAGAAGTTATGGCCTATGTCTCAAGAATGAGAAGAAGTTAGGGTCTATCTCTCAAAGCTCAGCCTCCTGGCTTGATAAGAATTCCTTTGTGGCTTTCAAGATCTAAGCTGGCCGCCTCTGCTGACACAAATAAAAATGCATCCTTTCGATTCTCTTTTTTTAAAAAAACCTTTCTGTCTCTTTTCTACAATTAATTTTTTTATTATTATTTGAGATCTAAAATTGGGGTTTTCCAAGTTAGGATCGGAATTCTCTCCTTCGAAAGACGAAGAAGGGAGCCCAACGGAATGATGTGATACTCGAACCCAGGGAATTGTGGTTTATTCCCTAAACTGTGACTCAGAGCAGTTTGATGTCACCCAAAACTTCATGATGCTCTGGGGGTAGAATAAACGACCGCAGCCTCTTTTCTTTTGACAAAAATGGATATCAAGTTTCTTTTTTTTCTCCCCCTTTGACTAAATCCAGAGTGGGTGATAGTGCAGCCTCCGATCTATTGTACGTATTAAGAAGCTGCAAGATTCATCGGGGAATTTGTGTTTGTTTGTTTTGCTGGGTAATTTTATTTCTGGGAATTCTGATACCCTTCACCTTCTCTGCAGTTCCCAGATTGATGTCCTATTTAGAATATAATTATCCTTTGCGTCTCTCTCTCTCTCTCTCTCTCTCCGAATTTCACAATGCAGCCTCTCCCTAAAGCACCAACTTGGTTAAACGTGCAAGTTTTGCGATGAGAGGCCTGCTTTGAAGGCGTTGTGTAAAGGCCCTTCGTATTCCTAACCCGTTGTGCATTTAAAAACAAAACCAAGCCACTGAGTCATAAAGAAACAAGGGTAGCATGAGCAAACACCAATCCTTCCCCCGGATTTTCAAGTCATCCTTTCCTAATAAAAGAACAGGTCGTCCTTCACTTACAACCAGAATTAAGCCTGGGATTATGGTCATAATTCATGCCAATCATTAAAGCAGATTGCTACAAGACCACGCCTGATTTTGCTACGTTTTTGTTCTGTTCTGTCCTATTCCAATCCACTCCGATTCCAATTCTACCACTGGAGCTTTTAAGAAGAGTGTAGGCTCTCCTCCTTGAGTAGCAAGTTGGACTAGATGACCTCCGAGATCCCTTCCAACTCTGTTCATTCTGTTGTTCATTGAAGAGAGAAGCAACCTAGAACCAATTTCCTGATGGTGAGAACAATTAATCAGTGGAACGGTTTGCCTCCAAGAAGCTGTGAATGCTCCATCACTGGAGATTTTCAAGAAGACACCAGACAGCCATTTGGGTTTTCTGCTTGGGCCTGGACTGGAAGATAGAATAACAAGAATTGTTCTAACTCGGGAAAGTTCTAGGTTGGATTTTCACCATACCGCAGCATCATGCCAGCCTAAAAGTGCCATCCATCAAATTGAGAATCCCTTGTCTTAATCATCTTCTATCTTCTCCATTCCAACTCTTTAATTTTCTATCTAAATCTGTGATCAATGTAAAGCTAGGTAGGTCTTCCCGAGCACATTTTCCATTCAAGATCTTCTTGACCTTCAGGACAAAACCTCCAGGCGGCCTCAAAGACCCCCTAAAAGGATGCAAATGACCAGCTGTCTGCAAGGAGTATCAATCCTTCCATTTCCCCACCATCCTGTCAGAGCTGAAGAAGCGTCTCGGATGAGAATGGAAACGTCTTCCAAGAATTGGGGTCTTCTTGGTTGCCTTCAAAGCCAAGTTGTGGCCTCCAAGAAGCCTTCCAGACCAGAAAAAGTCCGCCCTTCTTCAAAACCAAACTTAAGACAAAACTGCCATGTAATTTCTTGGATCTTAGTTCTATTTTTCTTTTTGAATGCCTTGCCGTTGGATATTATCCAGTTCTCTGGTCCCAAAGACAATTTTGAAGATGAGATGCATATTTTCGACAGAAGCTCTGCCGTTTCCTGTTTGCTTCTTGAAGACTCCTTGGACAGTTGCCACCTGCCCCTTTGCGATCTGTTTGTTTTCAGCTTATCAAGGAGTTCTACAATGGTTTTTCTTCGGCTGCGTTCGCTTCCTCCCTGCATAAATTATTTCAGCAAAGGAGTTAGCCCTATACATCTCCTGCAGGGAAGCAGATGGAACATGTTTGTTTCGGTTTTCTTGGAATATTTGAAGCAAGGGCCACGAAAGAAGTAAATGGGGCTCTGGAGGCCCTCAACCTCCCTCCCCTGCTCAGTTCAGGAATTTAAATTCAGCGCCCCTGGGATCCCTGACTCTCGAACCCAGAACAAGAGATTTCAATTCCTGAAATTAGATGTGGGTCCTTGTTTTCTCGCAGATGTTTCATTATCTAACTAGGTAACGTCATCAGTGCTGGAAAGGATTGTGGTTTGTAGAGAGGAGGAGGAAGAGGATTTTGGGGTCCTTGAGGCCATCTCAGGCTAATGGTTTTTGTGAAGACATTTAACTACCCAACTAGATAACATCATCAGTGCTAGAAGGGAGAGGGGTTTATGGAGGGGAGGAGAACTGTGGGTTCCTTGGTGCTCTCTGAGCTAAGTGGTTTTCATGCAGACATTTCATTACCCAACTAGGTAACATCATCAGTGCTAGAAGGTTTGTGGAGGGAAGGAGAAGGGGGAAAGAGGAAGAGGAGGACTGTGGGTTCCTTGGTGCTCTTTGAGCGTGGTTATTTTTCTTGCAGACATTTCATTACCAAACTAGGTAACACCATAAATCCTATGGTAGAAGGGAGTGAGGTTTGCTCTCGGTTTATATACTAGTAGCTTGTCTTGGTCAGTGAAGTTGGCCTTTTAGTACTTTCAAAGGCTGAAGTTCAGAGGGCTAAATTCCTGTGATTCAGGTTAAACACAATTTCCTCTAGTTTAAATTCAGTTTAAATTCAGGTTGCTTCTGTACCGCAAAGCTTCTTGTCTGCCTCCTCAATATTCACTTAGCATCTTTTGGAGAAGATTATTCGAAAGGAAATTAAAATAGAAACAACAGTGTTTTGTTTTTTTAATTATTCATTTGCATTGTGAAAATGCTCGGTTAATTTCACGACACCCCCATACAAATACACGATACATTTATCTCAAAAGAACTAGATTCAGGTGCCATTCCTTGTCTCCCTTCTCCCATTGTGGCACATTAGACTATTCCGGGATATCGATTATTATTATTATTATTATTATTATTATTATTATTATTATTATTATTATTATTATTATTAT